GACTCTTTACTTTGGACTTACAGGGGCCAGGTTGGGTTTAAGGCACTTTGATGTATACAGGCTTTTAATTGAGTGTTTTCTCCTCGCCACCTTTTCCTGTATTTTACTGACCTTCATGTGTTCTTAACGTCTGTTTGGGGATGGAAGGTATACTGAATTTATTTTACAGTTCTGATTTTCATTCTGTTTTTGCTGTTGGGATTTTATTTGCTGTTGCTTTGCTTTTGAAGGGTTCTCTGCTGTTGAGTGGTGATTTTCTTACTTTATGGTGTTCTTTCCTGGATTTCAGTCACTTACAGTGCATTTGTTTTTTAACTGTTGATTGCGTCTACGAGCTTACCTTGCTTTGTTTTAGGAGCTGCCTGGAGCAGCTTTGTGATGTTGTGCTGGAGAGGCGGCAAAGAAATATAGACCTTGCTTGCAAAACTCCCAAAAGTTCATGAGCTTCTCCAGCTGTGTAATTTTGATGGTCTCTCCATTTATCTTGATTGCTACTCATTGTTAGTAGTGCTTGTTCACTGTTGCAAACCTGCAAAGCTGAGTTTTAAAAAATCTTCCACGCATGCAAATGGCACCCACTTAGGAGTTTCCCACCCATTATTAATTGCTTTCTGGTCTTGCTTCTTCTTTGCAATTACAGCTGTTTAAGAATAAGGGGGGAATATGCCATGCCATTTTAAAGTGCTCCATAATATAGCAACAGAGCCATGAAATGGAGGACAGTATTGCTTTAAACAAAATTGGGTTTGGGGGGGAAGGCTGCAGTCTCTGTAATAAGTGTTGGGGACTGCTGGCCGTTCTAGGCAAAGTAGCTTCTGCCACTCTTTTTTCAAAGTAGAATTTTCAACACAGTGTTGTATTTATATGTAAAACATCCAGTTTTGGAAAGAATGTACCAAATTGCTAAGAATCTATTTTCTTGTTTCCCTCCAGGTTTGGACCGTACTACGTAGAGCCAGTCATAGCCGGACTAGACCCTGTTACGTACAAGCCTTTTATCTGCTCCTTGGATTTGATTGGCTGCCCAATGACAACAGCTGACTTTGTGGTCAGTGGGACCTGTGCAGAGCAGATGTATGGCATGTGTGAATCTCTCTGGGAGCCAGATATGGTGAGTGGCCAAAGCAAAGAGTTAGCAAGGGGTGCAGACCCAGTGAGCTGTTTCACTTGTGTGCTTTTGGCCCTGTTATTAGACTCTATAGGTCTCATCTTTCGCTGGAGCGATGGCTTCGGCGGAGGCAGAGCACCCTCAAAGGAGTGTGTGTTGTATCAATAGTTCTCCCTGCCCCCCCCAGCTGTAAATCTCCAGGTCTTCTAAAAGAGGTCATATAATATGATGCCCCCCTCAAATGCAACCCACCCACCTGGCAAACTGTGTGCAAGTACTCCCCCCACCCCAAAAAAAGAAACACCTGGGCAACTATTGTGTTGATTTAAGGAAAAATCTCCCTCTTTCTGCAGGAGCCAGACCACCTCTTTGAAACCATAGGCCAGGCCATGCTCAACGCGGTTGACAGAGACGCGGTGTCGGGGATGGGCGTGACTGTGCATGTCATGTAAGTACGGGGCACTTATTTGTGTGATTCATAGTCGTTCCCTCTCAACATGACCCAAGGCCAGGGCTATTTTTGGGCAGGAACGGAGTTCCGGCTGGCTTCCAAGTTGGCCATGCCCAGCATGAACTCATTAGCATAATAGGCCACACCCAAGAGCAGGAACTCATTAGGATTGGCTACATTAGGGGTGTGTGGCCTAACATGCAAAGGGTTCCTGCTACAAAAAAAGCCCTGGGTTTTGACAACAAACAAGGTAAACAGAATAAGAAGCAAAAGGTGGGCGTGGCTGGATGACCAAACTTCTGGATACATGGAGGTGTGGCCTAATATGCTAATGAGCACTGTGCTCAGGGGTGTGGCCTAATATGCTAATGAGTTTCTGCTGTTGGGTGTGACCTATTATGCTAATGAGTTCCTGCTGGGCTTTTTCTACAAAAAAAGCCCTGCCCAAGGCTGGTAACAAGTGCCACAGAATTATGCAGTCAGTGAACCTCTCGTTCCTGGCGGGCTAGGTGGCTCTGTCAGGGCAGCTGAATGTGTACACCTGCTGGCTGAAATTGCAGAGATTAAGTCTGTCTTCTCTTCTCTCCTCTCCCCACTGCTTCATCAGTGAGAAAGACAAGATAACGACCCGAACACTGAAAGCTCGCATGGACTAACTGAAGACGTGGTTTTGGAGGGATGCTCAACTTTTTTTTTTTTAATAATCTTGATGGCTGGAATGCAGCTCTTGGATTTAAAAACACACACACACACACACACACCCATACCTTTGCTGTCAAAGAAAGTGGCGGTTTATAATGTGGTATTATTGACCAATAAAAAGAATTCTGTTTTTTCAACTGTAACATGTAGGCTCAAGCTGAATGTTCTGAAGGTTTTTGAAGAGCAGGGCGGCTGGAGAAGGCAAGGCAGAGGGTGCCCGGGCATGTTCAGATGCCTTTCTTTCCCTCCCTGAACTTTGGGCATTTAAACATGCCTCACTGCTCCGTCCCTTCCCTCTGCGAGTCTCCCTGCAGCAGCGGGAAGGCTTGGGGAGGGAATGGAAGGCACTGCTTCCATGTAAATGCTGACCGGGTTACATGGGAGGAAGCCATTTCAGCCCTCCCTTTCGCTCCCCCGCTCAAGGGTGTGTGTGTGTTAAAAGGAGCTTGAAGCAGCTCCCAGGGAGGCATTTGAACACAACAGCTAGCTGGTGGCTCTGCCTGTCAGCTATTAGGGTTAAATGGCTGGTAGGGTTCAGTATAGCCGAAATGAACCCGAATAAAAGTTGGCTAAGATCGGTGTTTTTCAGGCTAGCTGAATACAGGTCTCTGATGATGCCCGAAGAATACGATTATGTATTATTGGCTTACAAGATACACAAAACATACCGATAAGGCATTTTTTGGACATTCATTCCGCTCGGTTATTGCTGAATGTACACCCCCAAGTGGTATGCCACATCCCGTAGGCTCTTTTGAAAGTTGGTCCGTTTAACTGGAATGATGGGGGGAAAGAAACCACAATCCTTGACTGTCCTGTTTGAACAGTAGAGTGGTGGCTGAAATACTAGGGGCAGGAGTTGTTGATCTGTCAGAAACCAGCTCTCCTTAAGATGAAAGCTTATTTTTGTAGAATTGCCCAGTCAGGTGACTTATCACAAAGAGAGGTCCATGGATTGCCCTTACAAGGTATCTGTAAAACAAAACAAAACGAAAGCTCCTCCCCTGCCACCAATTTTATTAGTCTTTAAGGTGTTCCTGGACTCTTTTCTGCTGCTATAGACAGACTAACATGGCTATCCATCTTGATCAAAAATCTATGGTTGAGGGCAGAAAGAACATTTCTCTTCTACTGTTGTGTAGCGGGATGGTGGCCAAGTGGAAAACTCTTGAAATGCAGCTCATTCTCTTAATCATCTTGAGACACCTGATGGGTTGTATCCCTTGGATCTTAAAAGGAAAGGTTTCCCTTAGTCGCCTTCAAAAAGTAGCTCTGCTAGTTGACTCTGGAATCCCCTGCCAGAAATCTCCGTAGAAGGCCAAAGGCAAACCCGAAACCTAGGATAAAGCACACCACCTCCATTTCCATGTTTTTTCTATTCATTTGTGCCCTACTTCCCCCCCTCCCCCAAATACGATTATGTATTATTGGCTTACAAGGTACACAAAAAAATACCCTATCCACAAAAAAATACCCTATCCTCGAAACAACCCGGTGAGGCCTGCGTGAGTGGGAATTCGAACACAGATCTCCCAGATACTACTCCAGTACTCTTCACCACTACACTGCCCCCCTGTATAATGGATTGCTGACATGCCTTTCCACAGAGCCAGCATGGTGTAGTGACAATAGTAAACTGCTTTGAGACTCCTTCAGGTAGAGAAAAGCGGGATATAGAAGCCTTCCAAACTGAAGTGAAAACATAAAATTCAGTTCCTTGAGCTCATGACGACTGAGCCCGCGGCCGGGGTGCTGGTAGGTTATCACCCCCCATACAAATAATGTGGCCGTAGTTAGGTATAAACAGTTGTGTAAACCGCTCAGAGATCCTTCGGGGTCAGAGCGGTATAGAAGTCGAAAATTAAATAAAATAGTAAGATTGGGTGACTTTCAGATCAGGCGGTCTATGGTAGGGTTCCACTGGGAGAGGAAAAGAGACCCCTCCCACGTCACTTGGGGTCTCTGTAGCAGGCACCAGTTAGACAAGATGGCGAAGCTGGAACCAGCTAGCAATGTTCCGGCCATGAGTTCTTAAGACTTTAAAGAGGAGAGCAGAGCAGTGCAAAGCAGATGACTGGAGAACAGATTTTCTGCATCTCCAAGAGTACCTGTTTATTCTTACAAGTCCTCTGGAAAGTAGGAAACAGATAAAGCAAAACCTGGTTGCTGTTCAAATGCCACCCCCCCAGCGAGACATCGGTTTCAAACAGCTGAAAGGGCAACCCCCCCACCCCGATGCCACCTTACTTCCCTCTCTTGGAAAGACAGCCTGAGAGAATGACATACACAAAGTTTTTTATTTTTATTTTGTTTGCCCAGCTGGGAGACTTCACCTTGTTAACATGCATGTATTTCAAAACACCAAAGTGTCTCATACTTCTAGCAAACAGACAAGCACATTGGACTTAAATTCCTTTTTTTTGGTGTTTTGGAAAAAAAAAAATCTGAACAGCTGCTTTTTTTTCTTTGTCAGATTTTTTTTTTTTAATGGGGAGCAGACACAACCCCGATCATACCTGTGTGGTACATTTTAACACCTTTGGCTTCACTGTATGTGCTGGGCATATGAGCAGACATGCGCAGCAGGTAAGGTGAGGAAAGAAAAGATATTAAAAGTGACTAGTTCACATACCTGTGCTTTGGCTAGTGACAGAAGGGCTACCCTCCTAGTTCACATCGGGAGCGCTTTAGAAATATTCCTGTAATGACGTTAAGCACGCTTGCATTAAACTTTCCACCTTGAAGGGCCAGATTGGTCAGGATAGCAACCTTTAGTTACTGCTGGCCCCTTCACTTAAAAAGCAGAAAGGACCTGTTGCAATGTTCCCTCTAAGCTGTGGAATCTTGTGAGCAAAAACTCTACATTGTGAGCTACTGGCATTAAAGTTGTGAGCAATTTGGCTACTGCATGAATTATTTTGCTCTGAAGCCATCCTTCCTGAGCTCTCGCTCACAACTTTAATGCCAGCAGCTCACAAAGTAGCATTTTTGCTCACAAGACTCCCCAGCTTAGAGGGAGCATTGGTGGTGAGTGAAGCTCAAACACCACCACCCCCATCAGTGTACCTCAAGAAGGTGGAAGTGGGACCAAGGGACACAGGCAGCCACAAGTGACAATCAGGTGCTGCCCCCGCTTGATCTGTGGAAAGGGCAGATGTGCCAGCCACCCTCCCTCGGCGTATTTTCCTACAAGCTGCTGTAAGTTAGCAGGACAGAAACACCTCAAGGTTCTTTCCCACTATTGCCTGACAGTGGTTGGGAGCATACAGGTTTAAGCTTGTGGGAAACACACACTGTACCTAGAAATGGAGATTCCGTTCTAGAAGTTTGTGGCTAACAGACCCTGACAGAGCGTGTCCTCCAGGAAGTTGTCACATCCTTCCAAGGTGAGGGTTCAGAGCGAGCAAAAGCACAGACAGACGGCCGTGCTAAGAAGAGCAAGTGGGCACTGCCTGGAAGGCAACGGAGGATGCACATCCACAGGAATG